TGCTACAATTTGATGTATACCTCATCCCGAAACGCTGGGTTCAGTTCGTGACCTACCTTTGTGAATTTTCTTCACATCTTGCGAAAAAAAAAACGAGAAGTCAGTTCACTGAACCATCATACAAAATGCTGACCTGATCAATGTATTTAGCTTCTGCATAAACGGAGATTATCGAAAATGCACACATCACGATGAAGCCAACAACAATGTATGGGCTTAGTGATTTGGATGTTTTCGAAATCTCGTCTTGTAGGTACGGTATTGAATACTGATTAATATTCACAATCTTGGTAAGACTATTTTCTCTGAAAGCTCAGTTTGGGAAATGTTGAGTTTCGAATAGAATCAGCGAAAAGCTTTGTTTCAAAATTCGACAATATGAAATTCATTTGAGAATGTGAGCGAAATTTTTCATCTTCAATCGAGTTGCATAGAAATTTCTCTGGTGGCTTCAGCATCGTGCACAAGGACATTGTTCAGTGGCCAGAAGAGTTAGAGTTTTGGCGGATCTCAAGTTCGATTAAACCATCCACTCATGGGTCTTAATTTCAGTAGACTTCATCCTGCTAATGAGCTGTACTCTGTTCGATCAAAAGACCACCAGAAGCATTTTCTTGCAATTTTGGGTGTTTGTTTAGCGAGAATCTGCTCATCAAAACAGTCAATCTTCAATGATATAATGCTCTTTGGAAGCACTCGTTAATTCACTGTTCTGAAGATTGATTACTGGGCATGTGTGATAGTGAGAAGTGCGAATAAAAAGTGCACTGAAATTGTCGTACTTAAGATAGTGATGCCTTATGGATTCATCCCACGTAATTGCATCTTTAACAGTCCATTGCTTCGGTCGAATGAATCGAAACATCAACGCGATCAAGTGCACCGATCTGATATTCGTTGCTGACGTAGGTGTTTCATCGCATTTGTACGTTTCAACTCCATACAAATTGCGACTTAAATCCAACTCGTTTCCCAGTATTGACATTACTGGATATGATAAATTGAAATTGGCATGGAACGTTGATCCTGATTCATCGTTTCGTTTTGCTGTTTGACTTTCTTGCATAAGAAGACCATTCTGAAAACGGTCTGATCTTTGGCTGTACTTGATCCAGTTGGTTGGACAACAAATTTTGCAGTGATCAGTTTCAACCAAGTCAAAGAATGAAAATCAAAGAATAAATTCAGTTGAAATAACACTTTTTGTACCAATGAATTTCTCAGTGACTCTTTTATGCTAAACAAATAAAAAACACTTTTCGGTCATATCACTTGTTTGTTGGTAGCCTAAAACGAATGCATGCTCATTCGGAGTGTTTCATAAACGAACCGCAAAAAGAAAGCTTTTTAATTTGGCATGATCTTGAAATACTTCGAATAGAAGACATCAGCAGCGATCTTTGATGATTCTCAGTTGTTTTTAATAGTTGTTATGGCGAGAATTTCACTTGGAGACTGAATGAATGTTTGCGGAATTATCAATGTGATTATACGAAGAAAAAATTCTCTTACTCGAAATTGTGCAACTGCTTCGTTGATATCGCAAAAACTGTCGCAAAAATCGTCAAAACTTTGATTTTTCACTTTAAATTTTGTGCGTATTTCATCCATAATTTTCACAGTTGCGTTCAAATGTGACAAACGTATCATATTGCCGCCATCCGATGCAGTCACAAGCATGATCAACGATGTCAATTCACCGTTGCTGAATTCGCTATGAATTTTCAGTTCTTCCATTGCACGTGCATATCTTGGTGTGTAGCCGATTTTATAGTCGTCTTCGATTTTTATGAACGGTACATGCACGGAGCATACTGCTGTCACAATCAGCATCACCTTAATTTTGAAGAGTTTACTTCTTTCATTAGTCTTTTTTTCAAATGCTTCATCCAATCAATTTCAACAGACGATTATTGAATATGTCAGAATATGTCACATTATTGAGTATGTCAGAAATTGTTTGAAATGATCGGTAAATTTGAAATGCGACTGATATCAACGAACGATTGGAAATTTGACGCGTATGAGCTAAACTCGCTCGCCGGTATCGTATGCCTTTCAATTCCTCATGCTAGTAGGGCTTCTTAAACCAACAACAAAAAGGGGTTTACAGCTAACTAGCCGTACTTATCTTCCTTGCTAGAGTTAACTCTGCGTTTGCTGATTTTCGGACGCCAGACTTTAACTTCGTCTGTTTTGAAAGGGCCATCTGAGCCTTTCAGATTGTACTTTTGATAAAAATTCACTTTAATTTCACACGTGAAAACAATGAAATTAATGGTATAATTGAATAGGTGCTAATAGAAACAAACGAATACCGCGATAACAATGAAAGGATGTCTGGCGATGAAGCGTGCAATAACTTTGTATAGTTTTGCGAGAAGTTGATTGAAAACCGATTCTATTGACTTCATTGTGGCAGATTCTTGAAATCTTCCAAGGTGAATGGACTCCTGAAACGTTCAGATTCAATGCTGAAAGTGAGGACGATAGTTTAGTTAATCCATCGCCCGGAAGACTAGAAGCAATAACCAAAATAAATGACATATGTAGATGATAGCCCGCTCAGATCATAAACGAACATCTTAAAACATATTCACGAAATATCACCAAATCATAATGGAAAAAAAANAAAAAAAACATTCCAACACCGCGCATCAAAGGAACAGTACTGAACGGTCTCCGCTGATCACCCAATAACCTATCTGATCATATGGAGTTTCAGTGATACTAACATGTTTTTGTGATTCAGTGATTGTGACTGATAACGACTCGATATCACTCAATACTTTAAGTTTTAGGAAGTGACGTGATAAATGAATACATGAAAACTAAAATTTTAAACAGTAGTAGTTCACGGTATTCTTCAAAATATCAGTGAAAGTACTCACTACTAGAGTTGCACTCATGTAACGAATCATCAATGAAGAAAGAGATTGCAACACGAATCCTAAATGGTACAAATCAAGTACATAGTATCTGATAATTAAATGCATTATCGTAGAAACTTGTTTGAGCATTAACAGCATTGTACGTACGCATTGCTTTAGAAAACATGAAATGGTTGACGAAACATTTATTGGGCGATACAAAACCAATCAAAACAATGAAGAGCAACATTCGCGGCAATCAAAAGAACCTCGAAATTGTACTTCCAATCGTAAATCATCCTTCTGTTTACTGAAGTCAGTGAGGAATTTGAAATAAGATAAGTCAATGAGGTAAGACTAATGTTAGACAGCTTTGAAATTTACGTATTCGACAATTAAACGACTATTTTGATAAGAAGGCTATTGCCAATATCATGAGTTTATTTGAATAGTTGAATTTATTCAGTAAGCAGAACCATACAGTGAGAGCCAAAATCACCAAATTACGTGTAGGTGACCTCATATTCTTGGAGATATATAAGCGGCTATGAGTGGATACAGCTCATTCCAAACAAACGAGATGTGTTATTATATCTTGTTAAGCAGCGACTTAATACGGGCACCCGCATTCATATTCTTTTCTTCTTCAGCGATTTCGTAAATTATTTTTGCATTAGCAAATTGAGTATGGCATCAGCAAGTGCAAAGCTTAGGATGTTTCAGTAGGCGTATTTCACTAGCCTGATAAAAACACGATATGGTACCTGATGAATCATTAACATTTTAATTGACCATTCAAGGACAATATTAAAACGTCACATGCCAACAACAATAATATTTCCGCCGTATCTTTCCAAGTGATAAATCGTGATAAAAATATGCATTATCAGATCGAACAATACGCCGTGTACCTTTGAAAACATTCACCAAAATCCTCTCATTGTCAATGCAAGCACTGGAAATTCAAAAAGAAAAGATGCTTCGTGAGTGTGAAGTGTTCAAAAAAAAACCCAAAACATATCCGATATCATTCACTAATAAAGCGATTGAAATCATTGAGCAACCCTCACGACACACAACAGTCGTAAATTGTGATTTAATGAATGCTGATAAGTGGCTCATACTGTTCGGATTATGAGCGAATGGTGAGATGGAACAACAGAATGGTTATCTTTATATCACTGAACAGACGATGCTGCACACTGTAAACTACCCATTAGTTCATCACTAATTAAGGGAGGAACTCTTCAACTCGTCAACGAAAGTATCTAACAAGTTCTTTTATGACATACTTTT